CTCGTCCAGGAGGGTGCCGATGCCGGCGCGGGGCTGTGCTGGACCCGCCATGGGCTTGTTGCACATGGGGCAAACGCAGCGCACCTCCAGCCACTTCACCAGGCACCTGCGGGGCAGAAACACGGGAGGATGTAAATCCCCGCCGGGGAAATCCCCCCTCCCCGCACCTCTCTGCCAGCCACCGTGGCCCTACTCACTTTCTGTGGAAGGCGTGCTGGCATGGCAGCACCCCCAGCTCCTCCTTCACCTTAAAATCTTCCAGGCAGAAAGCACAGGTCTGCTGCGGGAGGCGAGACGGAGGGTGAGGGTGGGTGCGAACACGTGGGATCCAGCGCGACGCCCACGCGTGGTCCCGCTCCCACCAGAAATGCCATGGCTGGGGAAATCCCACTGCTGCGGCACCTCTTCCCAGGTATTTCCAGCTGGGAGTTCAGCCCAGTTCCCAAACCACCCCCGGGGAGGGGGTTTTCCTCTCGATTCCCAGCCATGCGGTGTCAGCACGTCCCCATCCCGGCCCCACTCTGCCTGTGAGCCGCCTTCGACCCCACGGAGCAGAGGGGACGTGCCCCAGAGCATCGTCTCCGTTAGCCCCAACTCCATCAAAACCCAGAGGCATTACCACTCACCCCGTGCACGTTCAGCCTCCGGGCATCGCCTTTTAAAACCACCTGAGGGAGAAAAGGAGGCGGAGGATTTAACATCGGGAGGGGTTTTGCCAGGAGCCCCAGTGGGAGCTGAACCGAGCTGGGCAGGGGGAGGTCGAGCCCGGGCGCAGCGGGCAGTGTGTCTCGTCGCACCACTTTTGAACGTGCCCAGCTGGGACGAGTAGCATCGGTCCCCGCTGCGTCCCCGCCCGCCTGCACCCACGTCCCGCTCGGCCCCAAATCGCTGCAGGTACGTGCAGGAAACAACCATCGACTTTACCTCCTTGTACCCGAACCTCTCGCTCTGAGCCTGGTGCCGCAGTTTGCTGGAGAGGGGGAGAAAAAGGCACCGTCAGTTTTACAGCATCCTCAAGGGTCACGTCTGAACAGCGCAGCCAAAAATATTTGGGAGGCATCTGAAATCAGGGGAAAGCACCCTTCCCGACCAGGATTTGGGGATAAGCAGCTCCGAGGCTGCGCTTGTGCCATCAGAGCAGCGCGGCCACGGGCAGCACCAGCCCAAGGCCGTGGTACAGCGGGGCCCCGTGCCGCGTCCAGCGCCGGCAGGAATCGGCGGCAGGGAGCGATTAAGAGCCGGCAGCCCCAATTGTTTGCCTTAGGAAGTCGTTCGTGGTGCAGGAAACGCTGTATTTCCAGCGCTTGCCCACCAGCAGCTCCCAGCCCTGCTGTGACCTTGGCCAGGGCGAGGACTCTGGGGAAAACCGCCTGGCAGAGAAACCCAGCGAGACACGGGGAGAAGGAGACCGCTCGCAGCCTTCGCTGGTCCTCCAGCCGAGGCACCGAGACCTGCTTCCGCAGTCCCAAAAATGGCTGAGAGGTGCACAGGACATCGGTGGAGACGGGGCATCCTGCAGGAAAGGACTGAACCACCCGGGCCCTGCAGCAACGCCAACCGCTGCCTTGGCTTTGGGTTTAAAAATAGCCCTCCCTGAACAGGGAGTGTAATGTAAAGACACATCCTCTCCCGTGCAGCACTGCTCCTTCCCTGCCCGACACAATGCGTCCCTCCGCGCGGTCCCCTGAAAAACAAGAGCCCCTTCCTGCGTTTCCTGCCTCCTCCGGCCGCAGGGGACCACGATCACGCCTGGCTCGAGGACGGCGGGCGGCCGGCCTTGCTCCTCGGGGGAGATCCTCGTGGCGAGCGGCTCCCGTGTTATGGGACGAAACAACGGGGCACTGGGAAGGGCTGGGGATGCCCCAGGGATGCCGACCCACTGCCACAGCCCCCCCCGGCTCACCTGATGAAGTAGCAGCAGAAGATGAGGCTGAGCACGAAGACAAAGATGCCGGTGCCGAAAATGACCATGTAGATGTTCAGTGGCAGGTCCTGGAACGTGATGGGAGGCATCGTGCAGGGTTTACTGGTATAGATCAGCCCCAGACTGCAGGAGCACCCTTTGCAGGGGGGAAGAGAAAAGACAGCGTTTAGGATGGAAGAAGGGAAAAAAGAGGTGAAGAAGATGTGCTGTGAGAGCGGAGAGAGCCTGGGCTGACTCCGTCACCTCTGGAGTTTGCAAAGTGGGCAGAAAGCAACGCCAGGCCATCGTCTCGTGGCCTGTGAACTGGAGATCTCCCCCGGAAAAGCAGCAGCCCCTTAGAGCAGCTCAGTGCGGCACAGGCAGCAGGCACCGCTGCATTTCCACAGTCACAAACCCCTGCTCCGGCAGCACAGACGTACCCCAGGCAGAATCCAGGCATCTGGGAGAAAAGGAGGCCCCGTGCTTTCATCTCCAGAGAAATACACGGAGGCTGGAAGGGGATTTAGGGAAGGACAGAGCAAAAAAAGAGCTTGAAAAACAAGAACAGTTGGCGTCTGTCATTGTTCCGTGGGAGCCAGAAAGAGCAAGTAGCTGGTTCGTCCTCGGTGCTGGGAGAAGCGCCGGGGCTGTGCAGGAGCACGTTCAGCACCACAGTGACCGAATCCCTTTTCTGAGCAAAACCGTGGGTGCCAGCACACACCAGCCACACGCCGCTGCTTGGGCCACCACGTCTCGCTGCGAGTCTGACACCACGGGGGAAATGCGGAGGAGGGCCTCACACAGAGCCGGTGACGGCGCGCCCACCCCAGGAGGGTCCCCACCTAACCAAGGGGGAAAGGCACGGAAATACCAGACCCACTGCAGCTGCCTCTGCTGGGAGCTGATGCAAAGTCAGGCTCTGGCACTAAGCAAGCACCGCTTTTTATGTCTCAAAATCATGCTGACCCCACAAGAGCTGGAGCTTTGATTTCTCATCAGATCTCACTCAGATGGGACTTTAAAGGAGAGCAGCCCCCGAGCCCCATCTGCGCTCCACGGAGCATCTGCCCCCGCCCCTTCCGCTCAGCACCCTCTGTTCCTGTGCTGCGCAATCTCATCAAAAAGCTCCTACAGAAACACTTCTGGGTTTAATTACAGCCCACTAAAATCCTCTGCCTGTTTCTCATGAGAGGATGAAATTGGCTCTCCTCCGTGGAGAGCAGAGACGGGAAGACAGCGGGCGACAGAAACCTCTGCACAAGCGGCGAGATCCCAGGTTTGGTCTGTCTGGTTTTCTCCCCACTGTGATGGGGAGAGAAGGCAGCAGCGTGTGCTCGAGAGAGGCCCAGGCCATCTGCAGAGCAAGGGGAGCCCGAGCAGGACGGGCGGGCGGCACCCCTGGGGTGAGATCCTGCCCTGGGGGACACAATTCCCAGCTATTCCCGGGCATCTGCTTTGCGGTGAGCTCTGAACTTACGAGCCCCGCTGATGCAACGGCCAAAGCCACTGTGGCCAGAGAGGCACTCGGCTCCGGGGACCACGGTGCAGCCAGAGCAGGCACCAGACAAGAGTCTGGACTGTAGGAAATGGGGTTTTCCTGCTACAGAGGGCAGAGCCACTTGCTGATCTTTGCCTCTTGTAATCGCCAGAGACAATTCATCAGCCACCTCATCTACAGAGCGAGAGAGGGAGGATTTGTTTGTCGGTTCCTCCTCTTCCAGCCTGCAGCTCTTGAGACCACCAGGTGCAGGAAAAGACAATAGGAAAGGTTGGGGTTTTTTTTCCATTTCCCCACTGGAAATGATTGAGAAATGCTCCAAAAAAAAGGTATATCAGCTTGGAAAAAAAACACTGAGCAACTAAATGAGGTAATGCTGGCGCACACGGTGGTGGGACACAGGCTGCAGAGCAGCTGTTGATGGACGGAGGAAACCTCATTCAAAGCTGGCCAGACAGAGAGCGGTGGGTTTTGGTAACAATAACGGGTCACAAGTGAAACAATAACGCGTCCTACGTGTATTTCAAACTGCGAGCTATTCCAACAATCTGCTGAAAAGCACCAGCCGTTCCCCTCCGTGCCACAAGAGCCGTGGCGACAGAAACAGCCTCGTGAGAAGCGAGGGGAGAGGGGCCCGAAGGGCTGCTGCTGGCCACAGCGAGCGCTTGCTCTGTGCGTGCCACAGCTCACCGCCAGCCAGCGAGGGATGACCTGGACCTGCTCCGTGGGCAGCTGTGTGGCCACCCATGATGAGATGGAAAAGCCTTTGTCTGGGGATAGCAGGAGGAGAGTCAGCTCTGCAGAGAGCAGGGAAAGGCTGGGATGTGCGTCCCGCAGGTTTTCCAGGAGAAGCACCGGGCAGGCTGGGAAGGAGAGCCCCGAGGGAGACAAACCCTGCCAATCCCATGCCAACCTCCCCAGCGCATCCCTCTGCGCTCATCTTAAGGGGCTCAAAACTAGCGTACGAACTCCTGAACATCACACCCAGACATCGCTCCTCTGCACGGGATTGTCCCTACGGCCCCTGCGCTCTGCCCGGCTGCGCCCCATCCCGTGGGGCAGAAATTGTATTCCCCAACCCTGCAAGCTGCTTACTGAGCACTGCTCCACGTTAGACACCCGAATTCCCCACAGGTGGCAACAGCTGCATGTAAAAGCCACACGGGTGCTGAGAGAGGGGCAGTCAAACCAGCAGCAGCAGGGAGAAAACTGAGGTGGAACAAGAGATGCTGTAACTTGCAGCCCCGTACTGAAAGAAGCAGAGAAGAGCCGGTCTAACATGTCCCTGCCAGCCACAACACAGCTGGCAAGGCCAATTTTAGACTCACCAGCTTAGCAAGGCTCATTCCTGTGAAACAGACTTTCAAGAATTCATGAGCTCCAGGCTGCAATGCTGAAAAGGGAGCGCGGCTCCGGGGAAGTGCCCTTTCCCGGTCGGGGAGCAGCCATCGGCTCAGCTGAGATGAGAAGGTCCTGCCAGGACAAGCCCTTGAGCAGCAGGTCTCAGCGAGGCAATGCGAAAAGCGAGGTCCTCCCGACCCTGGCCAGCCCCTGCCCCTCCCGCTCCTCCCCACGAGAGCTCATCGACATGGTGGGCGCGTTGGCTGAGCGATGGTTTTGATTAGCGCAAACCCCTTCGCCTGACAAAGGCATCCGTATTTTTAGTTCAAGGGGAATGGATCAAATCTGGTTTTAACCAACATGAAATGAAGACCTGATGGGCACCAAAACCAAACCGAAACAACCCATTTCACCAGCTTAAGTCTACCACTTTTGTACCTGAAACCAGAATCCCTGAGTGTAGCGTGGTAGAACAATTATTTAGTTGAAAAATGAGAGAAGAGGGGTGACTAGGCATCTGTGAAAATACCTACAGACACGCACCGACTTTCTGGACCCTTCTCGCTATGAGGAGGCTCAGAAAGGTGGTTCATTTTGCCAGCAATGTTTTTTCATGCAAGCTGCAAAACCTCCCCTTCGTAAGCAGAAACGACAAGGGTACGGTTCGACCTGTCGCGGCTGTGGGTTGCACCTCCTCCTCCTCCCACCCACACGGCTCCCTGGCAGACTTAAGCACCGAGCTGGCCTAAATACCCCTGCCGCAAGCTGCGGTGAGGACACGCGGTGCCTCCGGTTCAGTTAGCTAACGGGGTGATGACCCGAGCCCTGCTCCCCCCTACCAAACCCTACAGCATGACTTAACCATCACGACCCCACTGAACAGCCTAGCCGACACCTCTGCAAACGCAGACCCTCGTGCTCCGGTGACACCACGTGGTTTGGCCCTCCGGACACAACAGTTTGCAGTATTTCACAGTATTTCAAGTCAGGACAGACACAAGTTTCTGCCCATACTGCGCAGGCACGGGGTTTTTGCTGAGCAGAGCTTCTCCCTCACCCCAATTCTTGTTCAATAAAACAAATGGAAAACTCAGCAGGTCATTAAATAAAACCATTCCTTTCTACTCCCACACAAAAGCTGTGGGCTTTGCATCAGAAAATTGAATGCAGCTTCCATAAAATTTTTGCTGTGATGCTGGAATAGGCTTCCTGCAGAAGTTGCCCCTAAGCCAAGCAGCTCTCCATGGGGGATAACCAGCTCCCCTCCAAGTAAAGGTACCCGGCTCGTGCCCGGTGACTGCGAAGTCCCCTGAACTACAGCTGAGCAACAGGAGGAAAAACTGTGATGCAAAAGAGGAGCTGAAATGCCGAGGCAGCACAGCATACGCTGTCTGTTAAGATATTTTGAATACACCTATTTAGGTTGAAAATGTGATTTTTTACTGGTTCTCAGACTTATTTACACCAACGGCCCCAATTCTGCAAAGGTCCTTAGCAGTGCACAGATAAGCAATTTTGCTGGACTCCTCTGATTTAAATATTTGCGAGCTCAGGGCTTAAAGCCAAAACATACAAGTCAGATGCCCACGGCCGGTCTCCTAAACCCACGTCTTGGCCTTTGAACAAGGGTGGGCTCTGTTCGCAGGGTTTCCCAAAGCCCGTGCCTTGGGAAGCTGAGGAGAGCTGTGGCTGCTCAGAGCCTCTATAAGCAAAGTCCCTCTTATTTAGGATGTTTCTTTAACACAGCCAAGTTTGCATTTTCTGCTGTGGAGCATTTAGATGTACCCCGTTTAATGGAAACCCGCACACTCCCCACATGGCCAGGGCTAACTGCCTGCAGGACCAGTGGCTTCGTATCCCCCAAGTTGCAGAAGAACACACAAGGTATGCGTTACAGTAGAGGAAGCCACTGGCTGCATTATATTTAGCTTCAAAGGCTGTAACCCTTTCATAAATTAAAATAACCCAGCCTTTGTTGCTCAGGCAGGGCTTTGATGGTGGAATTCCCAGCGCAGCTTCTCAACTCCTTAGTCATAAAAATAAACCACTTCTTATTTAAACCAAAACCCCCTCACATGTGCAAACTCAGTTCCACTTTCCTGAGAATTTCTTACAGCGAACATGAGAGCGAGGAGCCAGGGCCTTGTCTGGGGTCCTTTAAAAATAAGTTTATTCCACTTGTGCGGACACATGAAAGGGTTTTTTTTTCCATTGCCACCAGCACACGAAGCGAGAGCATGGCAAACTCATTTAGTAATTGGCTTTATTCCTGGGAGCTGACCAGGACTCGTTGCTCTGGAGGTAAAACTGCTTCCCCGGCTCATCCCGGGGCTGCAGGACCGGGGCTCCCGGCGCCGGGCTGCCCGGGGAACCCGCCGCGCCCCGCACCGCTCCGGAGCGGGGGCTGGAAGGCGGGAGGCGAGGCAAGGGCAAGGCGGGGAGCAGGGACCGGCA